GGAAGGGGAAAGAAATGAACTCTTAGCACAGGATTGAAGCAATGGGTGAACACAGTCCCCACCTGCACTTTGGTGAATTCCCCAATGTTCTCTGAAGTGAGGACAGATTCCAGAGGATTGGTTCACTGCACTGGAAGTTGTTAGCATTTGAAAACTACATGATTGTGAGTGTGGCAGGCCTCTGACTGTTCTGGTTAAATGATCAATATCATTAGGGATAATTTCTCTTCCAATAATATCCTTGTCACTGGCCCTTCACAATTTTTCTAAAAAGGAAATAAGCTTCCTTCTAACTCCCAAGACAGGTAGGGTTAATATCTCAGCTGGAGCTAGGCATGGACCAGGAGGCAAAACTGGTCCATGGTTTCCAGGTTTTGATCTGACATCCATTGGAAATGATATATTAGCCAGTGTAGTTTAGTGTCATGACTAAGTCTACTGTCCAGAGGGACAGCTTCTATAATTTTCTTCAGGGAGTATTCAGTGCAGAACTGACTTGATGCATAAGACTAGAGAAATGGAAACTAAGAATTCTTCTTGGTGCCTGTTTGTAGTACTCAAAAGAATACAGTATTTGATGTAAAGACTTTTTTTTTTGTGTGTGTGTGTGTGTGTGTGTGTGTGTGTGTGTGTGTGTGTGATAGTTCACACCATAAAATTCACCTTCTTTTTGAGACAGGGTCTCATTATATAGCCCTGTCTGGTCTAGAACTAACAAAGATCTGCCTAGTGCTGGGAGGCATGCACCACCACGCCCACTCTAAAAATTCACTCTTTTAAAATATATAGTTCTGTTTTTTAGAATGCTCACAAGATTGTGCGAGAGCAAAACAGCAAAGTTAAATTTTCACTTGAATCAATGAATGAACTGTCAGCTAAAGGTCACTCTTGATTTTCAGGAAACTTGTTTAAAAACTTTGGCCCTTGCAAAGGAAGCTCATTTTTTTTAATTTAAATATCTAAAAATGTGGTAGAAAAACAGATTCAAAAGACACTGAATTTATCTTAGACTTGTTGCTTGGTTTCTTTCTGTTCTCGATGGCATTTGACCCACACATCTTCATATTGGGATTTATTTTTGTGGATTTGTTATAGTAAAACATATTCAAAGCAAAACAAAGACTTAGGTGCCGGCGGGGGGGGGGGGGGGGGAGTATAGCTTGACTTCTTGTCATATAGTTCTAGTTGAAAGGCGCTACAAGAGCCCTATCATCTCCACAGTTCTCAAGACCTCTCTGTCAACTATAAAGGAGATTGATAAAGCCTTCTTGAGTTGGCATGGATGTGAATAGTGTACATCTTTGAGTGGGCTCACATGTGTAGTTGCATACTCACTTGAGCACACAGGAAACTCGGAGGAATTCCTCATGTTTTTATAAATTGCCCATTTTTTTTCCTCCCATTGTGACATACTGGTCAACCACAAGTGATCTGTAGCCTGGGTACATGGCCCAAGTATACTGGAAATCAGGGCCTTATTTCTTGCCCCTTACATGCATGGACAGAGGTGGGGGGTTGGCACAACTGCCTTACTAAGGACACTGCTTGTTGTAACAACAACAATACATTCTCTCCACTGAGCACCCATTCTGTCCTCGAACAGTAGACCCAAGGGTGGGGGTCCCTAGAATCTTCCTTAATGTCTTCCTTAATGCTCTAAGAATGCTAATAAAGGAGATTTCCCCCCCCCTTCTAAGCATGTTGTGGGGGAGAAGAGGTGTTCATTGGTGCCATAGCACAAATAAACCAGTGACAGGTGGTATCTATTAGCAGTAGTCTCTTCTGGTCTGGGATGGGGATATTACTTCCTCCCTCTCTCTGTCCTCTTATAGAATGCCTCAGGATTTGCTCACAAGCCAAGGAAAGGGCTTACTTTAAAGCTGCCCTGAAAAGTAGATCTAGGAAGTTGTGAAGGGATCCATTCTGTTTGTGAATTGGGCAAACTATGGACTAGCTAGTAAATCAGTGGGCTAGCCTAAACTTGATATTGGGGGCACTGAATCATCCTTCAGTAGGAACAGGAAGTCAGTGTTGCAGGGACAGTAAGTATAATCACTATGATTACCCAGGAAATACCTTCAAAACAGTGCTCTATTTCTCCTTTCTCTATCCTACTCAACTTTGACAAATCAGATAAACATTAAATTAGCTTCAGCTCTGTCTTAGTTATTTTTCCTGTTGCTGTGGTAAAATATTCTGACAAAAGCAGTTTAAAGAAGGAGGAATTTATTTTGACTCACAGTTTGAGGCATAGTCTATTATGAAAGGCAAATCAAGGCAGCAGAAGCCTGAGGCAACTGGTCATATTGTCAGGAAGAGAAGAGTGAATGCTCAGCTGGCTTTCTCCTTTTTTTTTTTTTTTTTGCGTCTTTTTTGAGACAGGGTCTCCCTGTAGCCCCTGCTGTTTTGGAACTTACTATGTAGACCAGGCTGGAATTGAACCCACAGAGATCCACCTGCCTCTGCCTCCCAAGTGCTGGGATTAAAGACGTGCCCCACCACGTCCGGCTGGCTTTCTCCTTTTTAATTTAGTCCAGGACCCCAGCCTGTGGAATGGTACCCCCCGTAGTGAGCAAGTCTATAGTCACAGCTATACTCAGAGGCTTGTTTCCTAGGTAATAATAGATTCTCTCAAGTTAACAGTGTTGACCATCACAAGCCCTATTAGCACTGTTTGTTTGGCCCTTTGGCATATTAACTCAGTAAGTCTTCGGTTTTTCTCACCTGTGCACCCACCTTCCCTTATAGTCCCCCACCCAATTTTATATATGTATATATATATATATATATGTGTGTGTGTGTATATATATATATATATATATATATCCCATAGAATGTGTTTAGTAAACACACATGCCCTTTCTGTAAGGGTCAAGAGTGGGGTACAAGGATGGGATGAAGCTCAGGCTTTACTGACTAGTGATTGAGGCACCTGAGAAATCAACATGGAAGTCCCCTTGTACCTTTGTTCCTGTATATTTAATGGACAAGTTTTAAGTAATTTCAGTGTCCCTTTTGGATGCTGTCTCTATCTATACTCTGCCTACCTACTAACAATTGCTGCTATTTTTTCCAATACTAAGTAGAAAGGGGATAGTTAGGTCTAGGTATGGTCTTAGCAAGGGTCATTACCCTTAAGAGACCCAGAAATCTCTGACAAAAACTAAGTGCCTGACATGAATTCTGTACCCGTCCCCCTCAGACTCCAAAATACAAAAGACAGCTTTGATGACTGCTGCAGGGCTAGCTGGCATTGGTGGTTGGCAAGGAGAAGGAGTGAGGATGAAGAGGATGCACTACAATTACAGTTTTACTGGGATCACCTGTGAAGAGACTAGATATGTCTGTTACATACTGATATCTGAAACAGAAACAATAAAGAAGATGGGGCTAGGTTATGGACCGCCAGCTACTCAAAGGCAAAGCCAAACACACTTTTGTCAATACTTGTTTAAGAAAGGAGTGTTTCCAAGCATTTCAGCATTGTGGCCCATGTCCTGGAATTTCCTCTTAGAAAACTATATCTCCTCCCTCCCCACCTGCCAGTAGTATGTATTATATATAGACAGAAAGCATTGCTGCAGCTTTATGATTTGAAAATGAATTTAGCATGTATCAGGAAAGACATAATACAGATATTCCTTATTAGTCTCAAGTTGGAGTCATGTTTGGAGCTGAGAGTGCTCGTAGAGTAAGGGGATAAAAGAAATGGCTCTATTGTGATGCCAATGGAGAATGGGACATAAAGTGAACAGGACATACACTGCAGGTCACTGTAAGCTTGAGAGCAGTCTACTGTTGGCAGACTGTTTCTTGTGAGTGCCAGGTCTCTTATTAGTCAAACATGTAATGTTGTATTCAAGGCAGATCCGGTTGCATCTGGAGTTGCTAAAGTTCCACAGTGATAGTGTTTCCTATTCCTGTACAAGGACTGGGGAGCCAGGAATCTGCCAGGCATAAACCTAATTAGAAATAGTTCTACTCTGACAGAACAGAGTCTATTATCTGTGAGGATGAAGCAACAGAGCTATGAATAGAAGAAATCTGTAGGCCTTTTGTGGGGGGCGCTATACCTTCAACCCTAAAGATACCTTCTTCTTGAAGACTAGTTTGTATTCTGTGATACTGGAAATGGTAAAATCTGATTGACCTTGAATCTTTCTTGGAAGTTGTGATACTTGTATTGTTCTTGGTTGCCATCATTTGACCTTGGAAAGGTACCTTTCTACCACCACTAAAATACCCCACTTCAGAGAGATGCTGAAAAACACTTTATTTATTTATTTACTTATTTACTTACTTATTTATTTATTTATTTATTTATTTATTTATTTGAATGTCTTGCCTGCATTTATGTAAGTGCACCACATGCATGCAATGCCCGGGGAAGCCAGAAGAGTGCATCGGGTCTCCTGGAACTGGAGTTATAGATAGTTGGTTGTTAGCTGCCATGTGGGTGCTAGGAACTGAATCAGGTCCTCTACAAGAACAGCCAATGCTCTTAACTGCTAAGCCATCTCTCCAACCCAGAAAAAACATTTCTGAAATGTTGAGGAAAAGTATAAAAACAAATTCATCTGTCTGGCTTTGAATTCTAGCTTACTGGAATTTAATAGTTTGACTTTTTGAAATTCAGTATTCCTGTTTTAAAATGAGGGTAAGGTAATTCACCTGATTAATCGCTTTGGCTCTTTGTCAGAAGAGAACCCAAATTCTGGCATAATGTCAGCAACAGTAAATTGCTTTATAAATATTCAGCTTTGAATATTATTATGTCTATTATACAACTTTTTCTAATGAATTCAACAGATTCCTGGTTTACAGTGCTTTTCAGTGGTCCAGAAAGAGTTGGTGGAGGTTTTGGGTATACCTGACATCATGTCTAATTTAAACATTAGGTTGTTTTTTTAAGGGCTTTGAATGCTCAGGGTACAGGGAACAAGTAAGATGTGTGCTTAAAAGAACTTCCCAACTGACCATGTTCCTTTATTTTCTTGCAGAGATCCGTGCTCAGCTCACAGAGCAAATGAAATGCCTGGACCAGCAATGTGAGCTCCGAGTGCAGCTGTTGCAGGACCTGCAAGACTTCTTCCGGAAGAAGGCTGAGATTGAAATGGATTACTCTCGCAACCTGGAAAAGCTGGCTGAACGCTTTCTGGCCAAGACACGCAGCACCAAGGACCAACAATTTAAGTAGGGACTTTGTGTCAGTTGCTTTTTTAGAAAGCTTGAATCCAGAGTGTAGAGTGGCAGGGGGCACCCCTTAGATTCAGGTAGATTCATGAGCCTACGGCTTTGAATTAATTGAAAGCCCTCAGAATAAATGATGAGCCATGCTAATGATTTTTATAGTCCTCCTACTGTACCACAAAAGCAATATGTTGGTGGTAGTTATTATTCCTAATTTACAGATGAGAAAAATGAAAGTGGAAAGCTCCGTCTAGGTTTAAAATAGCATTTAAGTTTTAGAACTATTTCATATTTCACATTCTCTGTTAAGGACATACTTAGGATAAATTAAGGTACGGGTATGTTAATTTCTAAGTCTCCGAATTTCTTTGATTAAGATCACATACCAGGAAACAGAGTGTTTTCTCCAGGACTGAAAGAATTACTTTCCCTTTACTAAAGCTGGTACCTGGTATCATTCATTCTCAAATGAATGAAAAATCAACAAATATTTATTCAGAACTAGCTCTATGCTCAGTATTCTGCAAAATGTTGGAAGATGCAAGAGAAGTTTATAGTATATATCTATAAGGGATCATATCTGGTTGGAATGGAAATATTTTGAATACAGGAAATAAAGGATAAAGGAATAATGATCTCATTAAGAGATCATTGGTATAATGTTGATGAAGATCTATAATATTTAAGGAAAGTTTTCATGAAGTAAGTGGAACTTAGGTTAGACTTCAGAGTTAAATTTGTATAGGAGAGAAGGTGAGACAAGGCAGAAATATTCAGTAGTAAGGGAGAGTGAGTAGTGTGAGATCCAGCTTCACTAAAAGGAGGATACTTTTTAAAAACACATTTTTTTTTCCCAATTACAGTCTGTGTGTGTGTGTGTGTGTGTGTGTGTGTGTGTGTGTGTAGTTCAGAGAACAGCTTGACAGAGTTGATTGTCTCTTTCTACCACAGGGGTCCCAGAGACCAAACTCAGGTCAGGTCATCAGGCTCGGCATCAAGCATCCTTGTCCACTGAACCCTCTTACCTCTCCCCGCCTCCACATACATAAATGGCTTTTATTAGTGTATATTAATTATATATAATAATGTGTTTCTCCAGTCAATACCACATTACCCTCTCTTACCCTCTTCCCACTCCTGCTAATCTTCTTCCCAGACAGACCTGAAGGGAAAATTGTTATACATTCATCCAACTAATACTCATTAGACATTCCTTGAACTCCTTTATAGTGCCTTGGGATATGGCGAAGAACAAGCACTACTTTTCCACATGGCACTTAGAATAGAATGAGGAAGTGGTCGGTTCACATATTACTGTCAGGTAATTTGAATTTAGAGTGAGTACTGTGGATGTACAGTATATGGTATAAGGACCTAGAAAGGGGGGACTTTTCTCTGTCCTTTGACCATCACTTTATGGTTGGTTTATTCCAGTCTATTTCTATCCAGTCTTATCCTTAGTAATAACCCACTTACTTAACTCCCTTTCAATACCTACTAGCTACTGTGCTCTGTGTTGGTTCCTATGGGACATAAGATAAGTTTTGGAATTCTTGGCTAACAAGGAAAATACATATGTAAATATATACTGTATATGTAAACAGTATAATGTTTACATATAAAGAACTTTAATAGTGATAGCAGAAAACAAATATTTTCAAAAGAAGTGGAAAATAAGGTTAAGTAGAATGGATCCCAAAGAATGATACTTTAACACCCAGCATAGAAGCTAGAATTTGATGAGGTGTGTAGTAATGAGCCCTTTAGGATATTGTATTAAGACAGATCTGAGGAAAAATGTAGGCAAAGAGTAAATCTTTTTTTAATGTCAGAGAAAGGTAGATGGAGGTTTTGGGGGTAGGGCGTATAGAATTTGGATAGCCCAAAAAGACCAGAAGGAATATATTTGTGTTAGTCATCTTTCTGTTACTGTAAACAGATACCTGAAATAAATAACCTGTAAGAAGAAAACGTTTATTTTGCTCCATGGTTCCAGAGCTTTGAAGTCCATTGTTATTTGATCATGTTTTGGGGGGGGTCTGTGACAACATAGTACAATAGCAAGAGCACATGGAGTAGGAAGCCTGGTCCCTATAAACAAAGAGGAAGGGGTTAGGAGTTCCTCAACAACCTAGCTTCTTTCAGTAGGTTACTCCTCCTAAAAGTTCCACTATTGCCCAAGTACCACAGGCTATAGAACAAGCCTTTAACACATGGGCCTCTGGAGGACATTTCACTCTCATACCATAGCAGTATTCAAGATGTATTTGAAAATTAAAGAGGCTTACATAGCTAATTGGCTAAAAAGAATTTTTAAAAATTTTTTATTTTGTTTTATGTGTATGTGTGTATTGCCTACATGTAGGTAAGTGCACACATGTCGTGCAATACCTGTGGAGGACAGAAGAGGCTGTCGGATCCCCTGGACCTGGAGTTTATGGACAGTTGTTAGTTGCCATGTGGGTGCCACCATGCCTGACTAAGGGGAGGGCTTTATGAAGATGAAGTTCAGTGTATAGGAATGGAAAAATGAAACTGCCAATGCTAGGTATTGATCCTAAAAGTTCAGTAGAATTGAGGCAATGCAAGACATTGTAGAAAGGTAAAAAGGTGGGGCAAGAAGCATTTTAGTTAGAAAATAGTGTTACTAAAGGCCTGGAAGTGAGAAAAGTAAAGTTGGTGGATAACTTACCTGATTTACTGAAGAACATGAATTTTAAATATGATACTGAATAAACCTGGAAAAGTTGATCCAGCCAGAAGATTCCAGAGGTTTTATGAATACTGGCTGATAGGGTTTAGGTTTTGTTCTATAAACATGGAGGGACCATTTTCAATTTCTGAGCAAGGACCATAATTATGGCTGTGCTTTAGAAAGACTGAAGGAGAAGACCTGGTAGGGAGTTATAATAATTCAGTAGTGAAGGTGATATAAAGTCATGCCCTTGGAAATAGAAAAGATGGGGCCAGATGTGAAGACAAGAATCAACTAAGTCAAACAAGCTGTGCCAGAGAGAGGGCTTTCAGTTTGCTGAGTCTCTGAAGTGAGAAGTGTACTGTATTTTCATTCAGCCAGCAAACTGTAGCCTCAGTTTTGCTGACTCTATGGCTAGTCCCAGAATAGTTCATTCTCTGCCCAGTGCATCTCAGCAGGCACTTGTCACTTCCCCCAGAGCTGTAGCAGCTGTTGGCCCAGTAATGCCATGAATTTGTCTCCCTGTGCTGCCAGGACAGCTGCCAGCAGCAGCTCTGGATAGATTCTTCTTTGGGTTGTGGAAACTATTCAACTTGGGATACGGCAGGTTGTCCAGGACTGAAGGCAGTCCACATGGATTCAGCCCACCCTTTCCCAGGCCAGTCTCACTCTGGCTCCATTTCGGCCATTCATCGTGGGTTAAGTTGGGTGTTTTGTTACTTTTTTGTTGTTGGTGGTGGTCTTTTTGAGATGGTCTCCCTATAGCCCCAGCTGGCCTGGCACTTACTTTGTAGACCAGGGTACGCCCAGCTCTTTGTTACTTTTTTTTTTTTTTTTTGGTCTTTTTGAGACAGGGTCTCCCTGTAGCCCCAGCTGTCCTGGAACTCACTATGTAGACCAGGCTGGCCTTGAACTCACAAAGATCTGCCTGCCTCTGCCTCCGAGTGCTGGGATTAAAGGCGTGCTCCACCACACCCGGCTTCTTTGTTACATTTTTAAGTGGCCGCATTTAGGGGCAAATGTTGCTGAACTGCTTTTTGTATCTTCTCTTGGACAAATTTTTCCCCTGGAGGCCATTATACTGTCACTCCGGCTTTGTGGCATTGCTTTGTTCCTGTTTACCTTTTGTCTCTTGCCACACTGCTCAGTGTAGATAACCTCATTAAAGCCCATACAGTTGACTCTGTTGCAAAATCTGACCTTGTTGTCTCATCTCTCTGCTCTAGACAAAGAGTGAGAGATGCTATAAACAAGAGTGATTATTCTGTTCTACCTTCTGCTTTAAGTAGATAATATGGCTTCCCTGGGTCTTAACACCTAGAATTCCGTCAGCCTTGTTTGATTAAAAGCAGAGATAAAAAAAATTATGTGAGGATAGGAAGCCTTCCTATTGAAGATGTTCTTACATTTTCTTTGGCTCTTTGAAGGGATGAATGTAATTGTACTCCTATTTGTTGATGAGCCTTTGATTGTCTCTTTAAGTGGAATTTGTGTTAATATTACTCCATAGGATTCTAATTAATAATGTGCTGGCTTTTCTTTTCTTTCACAGAGGCTTGTTGTAAATTACTTTTCAGTTCACTTGGTTTTGATCTGATTGATTGATTGATTGACTGATTGATTGATTGATTGATTGATTGATTGATTGATTGATTGTCTCTTTGAGACAGGGTCTCCCTGTAGCCTCAGCTGGCCTGGAACTCTCTACAAAACAGTCTGACTTCAATCTCACAGAGGGTCCACCTGCCTCTGCCTCCTAAGTGCTAGGATTAAAGGTGTGCACCGCCACCCCCAGCTTTGTTTTATTTTGAGGTAGCACCTCTTTGTCTATGGCATGTTAGAGGAACTCTGCTTTATTGTCCTGCTGTTTTTCTTGCACAGACTTTATGCTGGTTTATAACCAGTTGACAATATCTTTTCTTTCTCTAGCTTTTCCTTAATAAATATTTTTGAACATTTTAAAGATTGTTATAGGCTCTTAGAGGAGGGAGTCCAAGAAATAGAAGGGACTTGGTTGAAGATCAGGCATTTAGCTAGAATCTGGACATGAAGAATAAGACAATGTCCTACTTTCACTAACATTAAATTAGCAGTGCATGAAAGTGTACACATGAGATGGCTTAGTGATTAAGAGCACTGGCTGCTCATGCAGAGGACCTAGGTTCAAGTCCCTACATCCACATGGCAGCTAACAACTGTCCTAACTCCATCAGGGAATCCAACACCCTCTTCTGACCTTCATGGGCATTGCATGACTTGGGTGTAGGTACTTACATACATGCAGGCAATACACTCAGACACATAATTT